TGTCGACTCCCCATACTTATCTCATTCTCCTGGAATCCTGAAGTCAACAGGAGAGTTATTGGCAGTTGATTTAGTGGGTCTTTACTAGACTCACTAAATCGAGCGCCGGTGGATCGATCACTGCAGTGTCGATCCACCCTCTAGTGGAAACAAGACCTATCCTTTAAATCGACCATGATCAAAAGGGGCACCAATATCATCGCAACGAATCTCAAAGTGGATTTTGACATGTATAATTAAGTGCCACTCTCTAGGCAATAGACCGCTACAGCGCCCACCACGAGCGCATTCCACCCGAGCCATGGCTGCCTCTACAGCCTTTCTGGGCAACGTTCCCTTAAAAGACATTTACCGGGCAGCAACATGGTCTTCAGACCATACTTTTGCTAAACACTATGCTATTCTTCCACAACTCAAAAGTGATTCAGCAGTTGCCACAGCAGTGCTCTCTACCACTGCCAAACAATGACTCCGGCTCCCTCCAGCCTTATGTTGAATACTGCTTTGTAGTCACCTAGAGTGGAGCACCCATGGGGACACTACTCGAAGAAGAAAAGGGAGTTACTCACCTCGTGCAGTAACGAGTGTTCTTCGAGATGTGTGTCCCCATGGGTGTTTCACGACCCTTCCTACCTCCCCTCTGCTCAGAGTCAAAATTCTCGAGAGGAGACGAACTGAAAGGGAGGGGGTTGAGCCGTGCTCCTCAGGAGGCGGGAAGGGCTCGAGACGCCTCCTGGGCATGCGTGGCTCAACAGGGGAAACGGCTATACAAAGCTCTGATCTGCGGCTCAGGGTGACCCTTCACCTAGAGTGGAGCTCCCACGGGGACACATCTCGAAGAACACTCGTTACTGCATGAGGTGAGTAACTCCCTTTTCTCTGAAAACTTCCACGCAGTGTGCAGTGGCGGTCAAAAAGGCAAATAGGATGCTAGGAATTATTAGGAAAGGGATAGAAAATAAGACCCAGAGCATCTTACTGCCCCTGTATAAAACTATGGTACGCCCACATCTTGAATACTGTGTACAGATGTGGTCTCCTCGCCTCAAAAAAGATATTTTGGCCTTGGAAAGGGTTCAGAAAAGGGCAACTAAAATGATTAGGGGTTTGGAACGGGTCCCATATGACGAGCGGTTAAAGCGACTGAGGGGGGATATGATAGAGGTATATAAAATCATGAATGGTGTGGAGAGGGCTGATAAAGAAAAGTTATTTATTAGTTCCCATAATAGAAGAACTAGAGTACACCAAATGAAATTAATGGGTAGCAGGTTTAAAACTAATAAAAGAAAGTTCTTCTTCACACGGCGTGAAGTCAACCTGTGGAACTCCTTGCCAGAGGAGGCTGTGAAGGCTAGGACTATAACAGAGTTTAAAGAGAAGCTAGATCATTTCATGGAGGTTAGGTCCATAAAAGGCTATTAGCCATGGGATAGAATTGGTGTCCCTGGCCTCTGTTTGTCAGAGGTTGGAGAAGGATGGCAGGAGACAAATCGCTTGATCATTGTCTTCGGTCCACCCTCTCTGGGGCATCTGGTGCTGGCCACTGTCAGCAGACAGGGTACTGGGCTAGATGGACCTTTGGTCTGACCCAGTACGGCCGTTCTTATGTTCTTAAGACGTTAGACCTGGCCAGCAATAAATGAAACATTTAGCCTGCAACAACTTTGGTTACTCCGCTGGACTAATTATGAAGAAAGGTTGAAAAATGGGGCATGTTTTGTCTAGAGAAGAGCAGATGTGGAGGACACGTGCTAAGTTTTCACATATGTAAATGATCGTTATAAAGAGGCGTGATCAGTTTTCCATTTCCACTGTAGGACAAGAACTAATCCGCTTAGTCTGCAGCAAGGGAGATTTTAGGTTAAATATCACACCAGCTTTGTAGCTGTAAGGATAGTTAATCACTGGACCGAGGAGGGTCCTGGAATTGCCATCATTAGATGTTTTTCAGAACCGGTTAGAAAACATCTGTCAGTTTTCATCTAAGAAGTCAGTTAAACATCTAACAAGTTTACTTAATCCTTCCTCATCATGCATCAGAGGGGTCGCCGTGTTAGTCTGAATCTATAAACAACAAGAAGTCCTGCGGCACCTTATAGACTAACAGATTTATTTGAGCATAAGCTTTCGTGGGCAAAGACCCACTTTGAAAGATGCATCATGCAGACATTTGCTGGGTGACCACCTGAGGTTCCTTCCAGCCCTTTTCTCGCTTGTAAGCCTCATTGTGCAGCTCATGGGTAGTACTTAGTCCTGTTGAACCTCCGTGTTAGGTGGGGTGGCAACATAGGACCCAGTTGTTTGGTATTGAGTAGATGTCCTTTTAGTTGTCCTCAGGGTTCGCAGGTGGAGGGATTTTCCATCAAAATGTTTTTTGTTAGAAATTGCCGATTTGTCAAAACTGAAACTCATTGTGGGAAGATGCCAGTTTCTATTCCGTTTTTGACAGGCAGTGCTTATAAACAGGGCTTGACAAGCGGCGGTGAGCCCTGCTCGCCAGCCGTGCGGTTTGACACGCTGCGCATGCGCTGATTGCGCTGCGGCGCCGTGCCGGGCTAAAATCTACTCGCCCCGCGTGAGTAGATTGCCCCCATTGTGGAGCCCTGCTTATAAATCCATTTCTGGTCAGAGCGAGAGAAATACTCCGGACTCGCCAACAGTGCTGTGGTCAAGCCACTCCCTAGGGATAGCTCAAGCCTCTTATTCAAGCAGAGAAAGACATTGCACCTGGGTCTCCCATATCCCTAGTGTGTGTCTTAATTACGGGGCTGTTGGCTCTTCTGGGATGCATCCTGGTTCTGTGTGTGTGTTTGGTTTGTTGCAAAAGAAGTCGGAAGATCTCGGTGTCATCCCTTTGCAGCATCGCGGGAAAAAAACCTGCTCTCTCAAAAACGTTCCTGGGACAGGAAAACTATTTCCCATCCAGTTCTTTGGGTGTGTAATTAAGATGAGACAGTAACAGGCAACGGAATTTCCTTGCAAGCTGTCATGTTTCAGTAAACTGAAGGACTGTTCTAACTTCCCTTATCAGTCACTGCTGCATTGATCACCTGAAAACCTTGGGATTAAAAAATAAAATACTTACTGCTATCTTTCACCTCTTGTGAGTTCTAGACAGTGAACGGAAGATTTGAATACCAGTGTTTAACATTCTGCCTACAAGAGAGCTCCATTCTTTTTTTGTACACGGCTCTGAAGGGTTTTATGATGCTTCGATGAGTTACAAAATACGCTACATTGGATTGAGACAGAGGGAAGCAGTTGGGTTGGCACTGGGGTAGTGTTGCACTTTGTCTGCCCTACAGCTTCATTGCTGTTGCTCCCTAGTGATAGCTCAGGGCAATTGCACTTGTATTTCCCCATTGTAGTCCAACAGTATCCTCTGTCAGGCATCCAGCTCCCTGGCCATCACCTCTCTTGGATAGCAATCTGGCTCTCTCTTCTCACCGGCTGTTTCCAAGCTGACCTGTTCTTCTCCTGGTGAAAGTCGGTCTGCCTGCAGAGACCGGCTTCCTTTCTCTCCTCAGAGAGTGTAATTGCTACTGTTACAAGGGACCAGAGAGTGCCTTCCAAGCAAGCATATTTTATTCTGAAGGGAAAAGCACAACACAGAGAACACGTGAAAAACAATAAAAGAACTTACAGGGTTACAAGCTCACCAGAGATCACTCCCTCCAATATAAGCTATGGCAGGACAGTCCATCAAACCCCACCTGAGATTTCCCTGTGCTTTCAAGTTTGCTGCAGCCTTTGTTCAGAGTGAGAACAAGCCCGACCTGTAAGACCTTCTTAGACCAGTCTTTCTCACTCATCCCTGAGGATTTGGGTGCTCTCTGGACCAAGGGTCTGTGTGCTTGCTGGGTCAGAAGGAAGAACCTGGATCAGTTTAATTTTAAGTTATTTATCTCAACATCCTTTTGCTGTCTGCTGGTCTCTAGAGAATCCGGTTTGAACCTTGGAAGAGACAGTGAACAGGTCATCAGCCAGACGATGGGTTCCCTCCCCAGGTCAAAGTGTCAGACATCTGATAGTTGGAGGAAGAACATTAGCATACCCCCTTCTCCACGAGAAGTTACTTAACGAGTAGTCCTGAGGCGCCTTAGGGACTAACAAATATATATATAGTATCATGAGCTTTTGTGGGCAAACCCAACTTCCTCAGATGAGCTGAAGTGAAGAACAAAAAGGGGACTTTCAAAATTTATAACCGAAAAAGAAGAGCGGGGGGGAGAGAAGTGCCTGTCAATTGTAGGCCGGTGCTAATGCGCCTAATTGAGTGAGCTGGAAGATTTTGATGTAGGTGAGGTGTTGAATGTGAGGAAAGCTGCATCCGGTGCATGTCTTTGTTCCGGCCCAGGGAAACCGTGTCAAATTTGCATGTGATGGTCAATTCTGCGCTCTCTCTCTCTCTCTCTCTCTCTCTCTCTCTAGTTGGCTTGTGAAATGCCTTTGTAGGAGAATGGCTTCTTTCTTGAGTGCCTAGACAGGTTACAATCCCAGTATCACTTACTTGTTGGCATTTGTAATAAGTGGAACCGAAAGGTATTAAACTGAACTCAGTAAGTTTTGTCCAGGGTATTGCAATCTATTCCCATCTGTCACACCTAGCTGACATGTATTACGCTGACAAACCATTTATATAGCACCCCGCATGTCCATGGCTCTTTAAGAAACAAAACGAGCACTCCCTGTCTGTCTGGTTGTAATCTGGATACGATGAAACAAACTACCGGGCACCTGTTGAGGAGAGGGATGAAGGGAAAAGATTAACAGCGAGGAGAGTTCGCTCAAAGAGATGCTCCAGGATTTAAAATCATAAGGGCTTGGGTGCTCTTTACACTTACTTGGGTGGCAGGTGCTGAGGCGTCTCGGACTGGCTGATGTGTGTGTGGGGGCGTTTGTGGGGGGGGGGCGCGTGAGAGGATGTGGGGGGAGCTAGGGTTGGGTGGTTACAGCTGCGCTGGTTTGGTGTGGTTAACGTTTTCATGTATTGGAAGATTCCAGAAGAGCACGATTTGGAGAGCCAGACCCGCAAGGAGAGGGAGTGGCGGTTTCTGCGCAACACCCGCGTCCGAAAGCAAGCGCAGAAGATCATCCAGAAGGGTGAGCTCTCAGGCATTTTTATCCTGTATCACAGCCAGCGTGATGCCCCTGCTACCCCCACCGCTGGGCTTAGCCAGGGCCTGTCAGCACTCCTGTAGCACAGACCATGAATCCCAATCCACTCTGCAAAGCCGGTGTGAGACCAGGTTTCACTAATCACTGGCCTTTTTCATGGGTGCCCTGAGGCGATCAGGAGCTCGGTCAGTCATAAAGTGTTTCCCTGGGATTTGTCTTGACATTTGCAGGGCTTGTTTATAGTTAGCAGGGGCCCCTGCTCACGGGATTGACTTGCCTGTGACAAGCATGGACTTCCTTCCCGTTTGAATACCCAGCTGCAACGCTGTCACGTAAGGAGCAGAGGCACCCGTGGCAGGGCCAGCCAAAAACGATCGTCCTTGTACGGAACCATCTGGGTTGAACTCGGAGTGGGAAATAATAAGAGACCGAGGGGTTTGAGAGAGAGAGCTGCCACAAGAGGTTTTCCTGCCCAAAAGAATGAACAAGGTCTGCAGCCTGTGTTGGGTCTGCAGCCTTGGGCAATCCGAGACGGCTGGTCCACAAGTCCTGAAGTGCCCAGCACAAAATGGATCATTTAGAAGCTCATAGGAGATAGTGTTGATTTACCAGTTTGGCCTTTCCTTCCTGTCCTGCAACGCTCTGGTGGATAGTGTATGTTACCTTTTGAAAAGCATGAAAGACCAAGCATGGCAGGTGAAGCTCCGGGGTCCCCACCTGGCCGGAAGGGCACGCTCAGGGTTTTTGATGTGTAGCAAATGCTACTCAGGTTGCCAGTCACGCAAACCCTCTTGTCCTCGATGTTTAGCAGGTGTCTGAATGACCCCAGACCTATCCCCTCCCTCCCAGCTCCAGAGAAGATTGTTTATTGTGTCCCGTTACATTTCTGCGACATTTTTCTGTTCAGCCTCATTTACACGCTTGGCTTTTCCTCTCAGATGCCTTGGGTCCGTCCTTCATTAGCATGCATGTTCGGTGCTCTGCTGAAAGCTAATCTTGCTTATTTAGACCTCTTGATGCATTTACAAAGTGACAGTCGGGCGAGGGGTTGGTTTTTTTAATGTGTTTGAATTCAGCTTAGCCCACCGGAGTGGCCCCTGGAATTTACATAACTATGAGGAGACCTGATGGTATTACTCATTCTGCTGCTTGCTTAGTCAGCAAGTAGCGAGGACTGAGTCTGTGCTGTTCCTCTGTGCGTGTTCGAGACGCTTTCCCCACAGAAGAGAAAGTTTTGGGTGTTTGTCTCATATGAGATGCTGGCGGGGAGAGGCTCGGTGTGAAGCGTTCGTCTGCTGAGCAAGATGCCGAGACTCGGTTTCTCGTGTGCAGCTGGAGGGCTGGCAGACTTGAGTGTAACTTGGTGGGCGGCCTGGGGTTGTAACATGGTGGAATATCGTAATGCAGGGGAGTGCAGGAGATGGGTCAGGGCCATTTCTGAATACAGATGTGCACGGGATGCGGGCGGGTCGGTCAGCCTGAGGGGATAGAATCTCTTCACAGACAGGTTCGGATTCGCTCACACAGACCGTGAAAGTGAAACGCAAGGTACTTGTGAAAAATGTCACAACCAGCATCTTAAATAGTAACACATTAATATAGACTTAAATCAATTCATTGTCAAACTGTCCCAAGGAGTCTATATCTGCTGACAAGCTGTTAGCTCAGGATTCTGCTAGCAGCAGAAGTGGAGCGGAGCTAACCCTGTACGCTGGCAGAGAGTTTGAGTCTGGCTTTTATTCAGTTAGGTTTTCAGAAATTTTGCAGTGACTCATGGTGCCACCATGATTATCCTGACGGTGACGGCCAAGGTCAGAAATTCTCCGGTCACGCACTGTGTAACTGCCTGCGTACGTAAATCCTTTGAGCAGTTCTGCACTACAGCCAACAGTCGGCTTAAGGGATGCAGCTCCAGCTGGTAAGTAACACAGCTGGAGCCAACATACCTTAAGCCAAGTTTCGATGCCATCCCCACAGCAAGGAGGTCAGCAGGAGAAACACTCCCATCGACTTCCCTTACTCCTTCCGACTGCAAGGAGTACCACACTCGACAGGGGCACCTGCAGCGTTCAAATTAGCAGGTCTTTATTAGGGATGTCAGTGTGTAGTCAATTACATTGACGACTATCGACTACCCCAGTGTTTCTTAAACAAATAGGCAGTTGGAGGTGTATGCAGGAAACCAGCAGAATTAAAAATGGCCACCCTTAAAGGGGCAGGCGCCTCTTTTTTTTTTTTTGCTTAACTTTTTCCTGACCCTCCTTTTTTTGCTCAACAAAAAATCCTCGGTGTTCCTCATTTAAAAAAAAAAATTGTTTGGTGTTCCTCGGTCTTAAAAAGTTTGTGAAACACTGAACTACACAAATCCTATCAACTACATGCAGCCCCCTCCCCCTCCGCTGCCTCTGTATCACAGGTAGCAGGGGACAGGGAGCTGGCTTTTAAACTGGCTTCCCATGCGTGCTGGCTGCCATGGAGCTGATCCCTCCCTCGCTGCCTCCCACAGAGGCAGGGGGGGCGGGTAGGCGGGAGCCAGCACACGCAGGGAGACGTCTTTTAAGCTGGCTCTGCATGCCTGCCCATTCCAGTGAGCTGCCTCCCCCTGCTGCCACCTCCCAGAGAAGCAATAGCGTGGGGGGAGCGGAGGGAGCGAGCTCTCCATCAGTGCTGGCTTCCATGGAGCTGCTTCCTCCCCTCCCCCCAACTCCCTCAGAGGCAGCAGCACAGGGGTGGGGAGTAGGGCTGATGCTCGAGGGGACCACCCCACACTGCCCCCCCGATAGAGAGTCAGCAGCGTGGGGGGCAAGCGGGGGTAGGAGCCGGTACACATGGGAAGTGGCTTTCAGGCTGGCTCCCCATGCATATCAGTAGAGGCAGCGAGGCGGGGAGGCAGGAGCCAGTGCTGGCAGGGAGCCTGCCCTCCCCCACGCGTGCAAATGTGTAACCACTAACATTTCCAGTGATTGCACGTTTACACGGATGCCCGATAGTTAACCTCCCTTGTCCTTACCAGACCCGTTAAATCGACTGCCGGAGGATGAACTGCCACGGTGACAGAGGCATGCCCTTTGTGAAAGGGTTGCCGTGGCTTCCACAAACACGGGGCCCCCGTGTGTAGCCAGTCGACCTGTAAACGAAAGGCAGCGGTTGGCATTTCTCATTCGGGTTTGGCATGAACCTTTTACAATAGTAATATAGACACGGATCGTGTCAGTGACATTTTGGCTCTGGCAGCCCCCTATCACGGCAGTGTCCTCAGCGGCTAGGGATCGGAGGCCGGATGTGAGATCCGAACGCCTGGCCCGCCGGCCACGCTGGCTAGCGCTGACACGCACGGTCTGGGAGAGAGATGCTTTCATCGAGTTTAACGTTTGCCTGAGAAGCCCAACTAGAACTGCAGGAGAGCGAGGTGGCGAGAGAAGCCGGACAGGTCTTCACTCTCCCAGAATATTCCAGCCCCCTTCTCCCGGAGAGAGCCCACCTGCTAAGCATCTCCCGCTTGGGCATCTCCCGTTTTCTTCCCTAGTGGAGTAGGGTGGGGCAGGAGAAGGTTCAGCCCCAGATAGGCTGGTTAGGGGGCGCCAGCAGGGTTTGGTCTCTGATCAGCATGGCAAAAGGGAAGGGTTCTGGGTTAGGGAGAGATTTAAACTGTTATTGATCATGCAGCACCATAAGTATCGGTGGAGCTGCTAAGCAAAGAATTCTACTACACCAGGGCCCCAAGGGATTCCTGCTCACCCGACAGGTTATGGGCAAGGAGATTTTGGAAGGCAGAGGATGATAAAGGGGCGTGTGAAAGAAGGCACAGCATTAGGTGGGCCAAAGGAACTGGCTAAGCTTAGAAGGAGAGGCATGCGGGGTGGGGACTGCATGGACCAGAGAGCGGGATGCCCCTTCTGAGGTTTGACTCCCACGTACTGAGTCTGGGTTTTCTCTCCTTCCCCCCTCCCCTCCCCACCCCCAGGTATTTCTCGGCTGGATGATCAAATCTTTCTGAACAGGAATCCAGGCGTGCCCTCCGTGGTGAAGTTCCACCCGTTCACGCCATGTATCGCTGTCGCGGACAAAGACAGCATCTGGTGAGTTTCTGCCTTTCTGATCCTAAGGGATTGGCTTCCAGGGTCACAATTGGCTACGTGGGGACTGTCCACCCCAGTGATGGCTGCCAAGTGACCCGAGCTCTTTGTTGGGGGGAGATAGGCTTGCCCCCCATTCGTTCCTCTGTCCACTCCCATCGCCGTTCTCCTTCCAGCGGAGACGGGCAGGAAAGGTTTCTGCAGCCTAGCTGCATTGTTGCTAGCATTGTCCAGAGCAGCACGTAACCCCCCCACCTTAGGGCTGGACACCTTGGTCCCACACGGCCACACTCCTATTGGCTGGACCCACAGAGACAGCAGCTCCTCGAAGACAGGTGCAGTAAGGGAGGCGTTGAGTCTGCATCTCTCCTTTGTTAAACAAATAGGCGGCTTTCTGTGTCAGTAGGGAGCGGAGCTGGATCGGTAAGAGGCCAGGGGATTAACCTTACCACATTCCCCACAGAAACCAGAGGTGATGATGTAGAAAGGCACTAATAAAACGCCGCTCAATAACCTAATGAGAAAAGCAAATGGAATTGGTACCCAGTGTGTATAACCTGTAGTAGCACTTAAACGGGAACGTTGCTTTTTACGGCTTATGCCGGGAATGCAGATCTGACCTGCTCTTCTGCTCACTTTCCCAGTTTTTGGGACTGGGAGAAGGGTGAGAAACTGGACTATTTCCACAATGGGAACCCTCGCTACACCAGGATCACAGCAATGGAATACCTGAACGGCCAAGACTGCTCTCTGCTCCTGACTGCCACAGGTGAGCTCAGCCGTGGTCCCCAACCGGCCATGGGCAGGAGAGAGGGGGAGTCGGCTACCGGGGCATGTGAGATGTTCGGAGCCCTCCCCTCGCCTCTCCTGTATTGGTTTGGGCCTTTCACCCTTCCATGGGAATTCCAAGCCCGGGAGGCTTTTGGGTGAAGTTTATGGCCAGCCCCGTGGAATAACTTCAGTCACAACTTCAGCCTGTTGTTAATGGGAAAAAAATCCAGTCTATAGTAGACAGTGAACCACGCCACAGCTGTGCTGTTAAACACTGTTCCTAACACGGGTTTAGCTGGAGAGGGGGCCTGGCCTGTCTGCCAGTCTAACTAGGGAGGGTAAAAAGCACGTAATTAAGTAACCGTGTAACCGCTGGAAAGCTCAGTGGTTAGACGTGAGGCAGCCGTTGACTCCCCGGGAGCCGGTGTGCACAGGGAGCCAGCTTTTACTCCCTCCTGCCGCCCCATGCTGCTGCCCCTGTAACAGAGACGGCAGCAGGAGGCTCCCTGGGAATCGGTGTACACTGGGAAATGGCTGTTTAGCCGGCTCCCCACGCGTACCGGAGCCTGTGTGTAACCGTGAGGCCAGGCTCATCGGTTAACTGTTTTCTCGGTGACGCAAATTATAACAACTCAAATGGTTCCCAATTCTCTCCCTGTCCCTGACAAGTCATCTGGGAAAAGAACGTCTGTCGACCGCCCTCTTGTAGTGTTTGCTGTTCGTTGGCCTCTGGAGCCGTAAGAGGATTTATTTCTTGGGGGACATTGTCGTAAAGGTGTCTGTCTGAGTGATTTCAATTGCTGTTCAGAGTCGGCGCCAACGCGGCAATTGGGGCAGAATGAAGAAACGTGTGAGAGGGGTTGCGAGACCTCTCAGACATTTCGGGATCAAATGACAGCTTTCTAGCACAAAAAGTTTCCCAGTGGGACATGATGCCGGGGTGAGGGGCTTGCGCCTAGGAGATGGGCTTCGGTTCAGCTCTCGTCCTGGGTCGTGGCTTTTTGGGTTTAGTAGTGCGCTTTCGTTCTTGGCATTGGCCGAAAGGAGGGAGAAGAGATATAGCCTAGTGAAAATGATTTTTTTCCAAGAGGGATTTACAGCCAACTTAAGGTGCTCCAGCAGGGCCGACGGCCACTGCAGGCCCGGGGACAAGGTGTGGGAGGCAGGTCTACCCCCCAAAAGGGGCAGGGCCTTGGGTGGAAGGCTGGGACGGGGGCAGGCAGCCCTCAGCACTGCTCAGAGCACAGCACTGGTCTCCTTTCCCTCTAGCACTCAAAGCCAACTAAGTGACATCTCAGCAGGTCTTTTTTCTGTCCTCCCCAGACGACGGTGCGATCAGAGTGTGGAAGAACTTTGCAGACCTGGAGAAGAATCCCGAGATGGTGACTGCCTGGCAAGGCTTGTCGGACATGCTGCCAACCACCCGAGGTGGGTCTGTGCTGCATTCCCATTTGGGGGTAGAAATAACGTCCCCCGGTGGAATCTTTTCTAGGGATCGGTAAAGTGGAACAAGTTGTGTATTCCAGCCTGCGCTTACATCCTTGTTAACAATTTTTTGAGCCTCGTCCAGCCTGCGCTTACATCCTTGTTAACAGTCTCTGAGCCTCTGAGTGGAGTCTTACCAAACCATGGTAAGGGATTCCTTCCCACTTGGCCACAAAACGCCCAGACACAACCTCGTGTCAGCTACGTACGACTGAAGTAGCCAGGTGGGGAGTAGCAAAACAAGAGAGAAACCTTCTCTGTAAGTTGAGCGCTTGGGCGGCCACCCAGGACAGGTTCAAATGTCACCCAGCTGATCAGCAGAGCACCCATAGGCAGCAGCATGTGTTTCGGTGGGTGGTGCACGTCCGCACATGTGTTGGTGCACAGAACAAAATTTATTCCACTTCTGGATGGAAAAAATTAGCAGGAGCATTGCAAGAGAGTAAAGGTGAAGGCTAATTCTCCAACAGTGGCACAGCCACAGTGTCCATCATCAGCTCCACTGGAGTTGAACGGAGCCCCACGAGCTTACGTTTCTCCTGAGGAGAGAGCTGTAGAACAAGGTTGTCCTGAGCACTTTCCTCCCCAGAACTGGTTCTCACGGGGGGTTATGTCCCAGCCCCCCTGTGAGTTTGATGAATAGCTCCTCCCTTTCCCTGCGGTTGGCCACTCACCCTCTGCATGCTGCACTCGTGACCACACTAAGCTTGTGTTCCATCTTGGCCCTTCCTCCCTGCCGTTTATTGTGAGTCGAGAGCTGGGAGAGGAGCAGGCTGCCCCACCTGGTGTGGACAGGATCGTGGCCCAAGCCACCTTCAAACTTCAAAGCTGCCAGTGAGGCTGCATGTGGCCAGGCCCCCCAGCCAGCACGATGCCCAAACCAGGCTCCAATTCGGGTGACTGTGAAATCTGTCTCAGGCATCGCTGGGAGAGGTGGGGGACACGTTCTCCCCGGCCAGGGAGACATCAGTGATCTGACAGTTGCCCTCTGTCACTTGACCTCTGTTCCAAAGACCTGCTGCAGCTCAACCAGCTGTTCTGGGTTTGATGCCGGTGCCGCTGGGGGAGCTTCTCTGGCCCGCACGATGCAGGGGGCCGGACTTGGGTGATTGCGATGAATCTTTATGCTCCGGCAGCTCTCACTTCTCAGCCTGTGGGGCTTGTCTCGGGCGCCTGGCACAGCTTATGTGAAAACTCCCTGGTGCTAATCCAGCGTGACTCAGCTGGACCCTCCATGACACGGTCGGAGCGCCAGCACAGCCCTCCCGGGTTCCTGGCGCTGTGTTAGGCAAGTTTTCCACCCAGGTAACCTCGGGTTTGTCCGCAGAAGCATTTCATTCACAGGGAGCCGGGTGTGAATCTGCCCCACACTTGCCTGGCTCTGCGGATGCGCACCCAACAGCTTTATGGGCCGGGCCTTAGGAGGGTAGATTCCCACTGCAGGGTAGATTCCCAGCCTCAGTCATGTGGACGGACCCTTTGTTACACGTCTGGAGATACTGGCATGACCAAAGCTTGCCGCAAACGAAATGTCCATGGAGGTCCGTCCGAAGGCTGGCAACGCTTACCCCTCCCTCTTCCCGTGTGTCTCCCTCTAACGTCCTCCCCCCTTTTCCTGCTTCTCTTGTTCCATGGCTGTTTAGCTGTTCGTCGGGTTTGACCTGTGCTGCTTCATCTGGTTCGGAACGGGTGCCTCTCCCTTCTCCCCGCACAGTCTGTCCCTGGCTCTGTGGCAGTCGGGGGGAAGTGTGATGGCTCTCACCGCAGGCTCTGTACCACGCTGTCCTGCGGGCACGTAATTAATTACAAACTGCTGGGGCTTTGCCGCGTGCTGTGAAATTTGCCGTGGTTGAAACCTGCTCTTTGCAAGGACAAAGCGCAGGAAGGAGCTGGTGATAGTGTGTTGAGCTGTTCAGTGTCCAGCTCCTTCCTCCTCCTGCTCTGGAGCAGAGGAGAGAAAAGCACCAGGCCGCCATGTCAAGCTGCCCCTGGGACGCTCATTCATTTGGTTTCTCTTTTCTCCGTTTCTTTTCCCCAAACATCAGCCTTTTTGAGTGAGATGCCTACGCTCTTCCCTCCCAGGAATCAGGATATTCTTTCCATTGTCCTGGTAATGGACTCCCCCCAGATCACTGGCGTCTAGGAACTCCCCACGGGTCCCATTAGCATCCGCTCCTTGTTGCATAACAAGGAGAGTTCACAGGAGATGCTGACAAATGCAGACTGAATGCCTTCTGGCTCGCTCCCATTTTTCTCCCCTGCTACCTCCATGCACCTTCCTCAGGGCAGGGCATTTGCTGCTTACGTCTTGCTCTCCACAGACCTTGAATGCAGCAGCAAAAAGGAGGTACACGGGAGCAGGGCTTGACATTGCAGAATAAATGATGAACAGAAGCAAAAGCTGATTGTTGTAAGCGTGGGGGAAGTCGTGCTTGCCAAGACAGCAGGCCTGAAACGTCCGGTCCTTTCATCTTACGCATCTTCTGCACCCTTTTCTGTGGCCTAAGCAAATCCAGGCTTTGCGGCTTCCTTTGCCTTTTAAGCAGGGAGTGATTGGATTAGACGGAGAAGAGGAGAAATGTAGGTTTCCTCATGGGGAGAGAAATGAACTCATTCCTTTCAAAGGGAAAGGATTCCCTTGGAAATGAGATTCGCGATTGAAGAGCTAGCGTCTGCTGCAGAGATCCAAGTTGCATTCCTGTGCCGAAGCTGCTCTGTTCGCTGTCTCCATTTTCTCCATCTCGCTTCCTCCTTTTTTACAAGGACATTGACATGGAAGCTGGAGTTCAGCCGTTCTTGCCAGTGATCTTCCTCTCCCTTCGTCCGCACCTGTGTCAGAATCCTTTCTCTGTGACGCAAGCCTCGTCTCAAGAGCAGCCAGGATCCTGCCTTGGCCTGGGAATAGATGAGACTGTTGAGAAACCCATCACCTGACTGTGCAAGTTTCTCATTTGTGAAGAACAGGCTAGCGTGGGGAAAGGAGAAATTCACAAAGCACTTACTGGAGAACGAGGGTTCTTCCTGCAGGGGTCTGGAAAGCATCAGCAGGTGTATAAGTGATGGGAGTTGCGTGGCTTTAGCTCAGTAATTTCGTCTCACAACAGCAAAGTAGTCTTACGTGGTGGCCATCCGTTCCTTCGCAGCCTGAGATGCTAGAACCAGTGCGAGGCCGTAACGCCCTTGGAAAGTTGCTTCACTTTCACTTACATTAGTTTTAAAAAGATTTAGTGAAACTGGTGCAACACTCTGGGGGGACAAACTCATTCTGTGTTACGATTTCCTTATTTCGATCCCGTTTAAATGGCTAGGAACCAGGCATGAGCTGTAGTGAAAACAGAGTGTTAAATCAAGACTTGCACCAGCGTGGGTTCACACCATTGGTTAAACCACAGCAGCTTTCTTGTGCGGACAATCCCTGAGCTAGAGCCGAGGTCTGAAAAGGACAACGCTCGTGTTGCTAATAGCCTGATGCTTACAACTAGGCAAAACTTAGAGCTGCAAACCTGATGGGGAGTGTCAGGAAGACAGGGAGCGTTACCTAGTGAGCAGTGTAGGAAGTGCTGTAAAGACGTGTCCCTGCTGTCGTGGGGTTCACGTCTTTACTGCCAACATGGGGAGGTTTGCAAGTCAGTGGCTTGGTTAGTAGCTGGAGACCCCAGGGCTGTCAGAAGCAGCCTGCAGAAGAGGACTCAAAACTTTGGGTACATCTTCACTGCGGCGCTATTTCGGGCTACCAGAAGTATCCTGAAATAGCTTTTCTGCGCCTATTGACGCAACCCATTATTTCGAAATAGATTTTGAAATAACGGGCGGCTTATTCCAACATCCGGGTCACCCTCGTTCCAGAAGGGTTAAGGGGAATTTCAGAATAGCAAGTTATTTCGAAATGTGACTCTGGGTAGACGGCACCAAATTATGAAATAAGCTATTTTGAAATATTTTCAAAATAAGCGACGCAATTTCTGGCCCAGCAGAAGCATCAGGCTGCGGCCCAGCCATGTCTGTGAAACCAAGAAATGGTGTAAACCTCTCCCAGGAGTGAAATTGCATCTCTCACTTTGCTCTTCCTGCAAGAGGAGCCGTATCCATGAGGAATTCTGGAACACAAAGTGGCCACCGGCAGTCTGAGCATCTCAGCTCTTTTAAACTCCCGTTTGGGGACTGAGGAGCATGTGGAAACCGCCAGCTGCCTTGAGTCCATCTAATTACCTCTACTTAAGCGCTCTCCTCCTGTCGGCCACTTGCATAAACCCACGTGGCTTTCCTGTGTCCGGCTTAGCAAAGAAAACCTGCGTGTGACTCCCCACAATGCTGTGTATGAGACCTCCCTGTTAGCAGACTGCCCAGCTCGCTAGCTGAATACGTGGCGTCCCATATGCAAGGAATGAGCAGGGGTCTCTGCGTCTATACGCAGCCAGGCCCTGTGTATTCGCGGCCCCCTGCAGTGTCTTTTGCTGTCCAGGGTTTACGAAAGCTAGAAACGAGCATGTTTCTACAGCTAATTCCCTCTTAAGAGTTGCCACTGGCGTGCCTGTAAATTGTGTTCTCTGACCGAGTGTCCATTAGCAATCGCACGGTGCAGGCGAGTCCGTTGTACTGCTGCGCTGCTGCGCTAACTGCCTGGGACCGCCGCCTGAAAGGCCAAAACCTGCCTGGTTTGGGTTCGGTTTGACCTGTGCCGACGTGTATGCCGGGGGTTGTTTCTCTTTCCATGTGTTCCTCTCCAGTGAGGTCGTGCCAAGGAACAAAACTTGCCAATCAAATCTGTGGTGTAAGGCAAACAGGCTGAAGCTCTTTAACGGCTTCCTAGGGAAAGGCTTCTGGGATTAAAACCAACCCAGGGCCTTTTCTCTGGGTGGAAGCACACGCTTGACTTGGGGCTGCTGCTTTTCCCTTCCCTGTTCTTCTTTCCTTTGAGTTGCTTTTCTAACCCTTTTAAGATT